CTGCGAGAGGAGGAAGATTGTCACTGAAATCCTCCTCTGCTGGTCTTTGACCAAAGCCTTTGGAAGGGGCAGAACCGCGATGCCTCCTCCCAGCCAAGAAGAAGATGGGACTGTCTGGACCTCAGACTCCACTGAGTCAAGACTGGAGTCCCAGCAAGAGGCCGAGATTTCAGATGCTCCCAAAGAGGGCTGGGAAAACCGGGAAGAAGCCAGCCCAGAAGGAGCTCCCAAAGGGATAGGCTTGGGAGGAATCTCCCCACCTTCCTTCACAACCACCCAGCAAAGGAAGTTCCAGGACACTTACTGCGATACCCCAAGATCACAACAATCACCAGGACAACAACAGCCACAACAGCCACAACACAGCCGATGATGAGCCCCTGATTGGATTCTGGAACTGAATTGGGAAAAAGAGCAGATAATTGAAGGAGAACCCCAAACAACCATTCCAAGTAGGGGAGAGACCTAACATAGCCAAAAGACTGGGGATCCCCCAAGGTAAAAAGACTAAAGGCTCATCTTCACATCCCTCTAATTGTAGCAAGAAGATGCCTAGCTAACCATGGTTAGAGGACGGGTCCTCATGACGCTCCTTTCATCTCACACCAGCCCAGCATGAAGGCAGCTGACGTGCATCTTTAGCTGTTCAGCTCAAAAATTGACTGATAGAACAGCAACACACAGTGATGTTTTGTTCTTTATAGGAGGAAACCGTGTTCGTCTACAATGGCAAAAAATCAGACTGGCAGCCCCTTTTCTGACAACTGATGCATCAGTCCAGCCACTCGATGCATTTCATTTGCGATGCTTCATTTGCATCACAAATTTTAATACAATTTGGTATTCAGAAAACTCCTCCTGACTTTTTTACTTGAGGAATTCTAAATAAAAGGAAACCTGTTTCTGGGGCTCCTCCTGCTCTGCTGGAGGCAGCAAACAGGGCGGGAGAGAGGCTAAGGGAGGTTCTGGGTGCATTTCCTCAGGATGGGCCAACCATTGGGGTGGGACTCCACTGCTTCCTTTCAAGAACCGGAAGCCGATTCTACGGACTGTTCCCTGCAGGTCCACAAACCTCAATCATGGGAAAAACCACTGGATTAAAGCTCAAGGATGCTCACATCTGGACACCGCTGGGGTCAAATTTCTCTCCCACAATCCTCCAGCGTGAAAAAGAGCCCAGCCTCTCCCTCTCTGCAGCCTCTCACCCTTCACGGCCACATCCACAGGCTCCTGCAGGCCGTCGTGCTCCACGTGGCACTGATAGCGGTCCCTCTCTTGGGGATCGATCCGGAGGCTGAGCCAGTAGTGGTAGGTCCCATCTGCATTGGGGGCCACAGACCCATGGAAGTTGTCCTGCAGCCAGACCTCCCCGTCCCTCCTCCAGGAGGCATCGATCTCCTTGGGGTAGAAGCCATCCACGCGGCAGACGTGAGTTTCCATCCC